ATCTTAAATGAATTGTAGCAGTGCAGTTACTAAAACTTCCACTGAGAAATTGACAGTCGAAAAGCATATTGCAGTCAGAGATTACACATCCGAACTGAACACAATATAACTGTGACTCATACGTGTTTGAGTGTGTTTTGGAATATAAATCACTTAATAGAATACTGAGTCCTCTTTGTTCGACAAGTAATTCCTAATTGTAAGGATTTTTCACTCCATCAAACGCAAGCAAGTCTCACTCCTAAGACACTCGCTATCATGTTCATTGAAGTACGGCTTGATAATGACCAGGTGGCTTCGTAACGGATTGAATTTTACTTTCAAATCGAAACTGAATCAGTTTTCATTACCCTGGTCGTCCATCTCTACCCGGTGGACCCGGTGGCCCGGGTGGTCCAATTTGACACTGACAACAACTTCCTCCACTGCTTGGACTTGAATTCACATCAGATCCGTGAATCTGATCTGCCGAATACTGGCGTTTCAATCTTGAATTCGGCGTGCTTGGGGGAATATCAACGACTGCTTGCAACTGCACCATTTCCTTCCACATCTCACGTGCACGTGTCTAAACAAATTCGAATAAACAATTCCATCGAGTAGTTGAAAGTACTTGATTTAGAGAAAACCCTCGGAAAATTATTATGTGAAGCATTGTGAATGTTTCAGTGGAATTTATCAAGAAGTGCAAAATAAAACACCTTGCAAAAGTCGACTTCATTTTGCATGAAAGACTGCACATTCTGTATGTGACTGTATATGATCGGCAACGTTATGATGCACGATATCACCGATATGGTTGAAAAAGCAACTGCAGCGAATGCGACAGGTCGCAGTGAACGCCGCTTAACGGGCGATTGCTCCTGTTTTTGCATTGGATCGAGCAAACCTATCAATTACGTTGTTTTATTGCTCGGGAATTCAGTTGAATCAATGAAAATTAATGAACTGACGATTCATTCGTGATTTATCACAAATTTGATACAATTCATCAACGATAAAATATGTTCAGACCAAAAAAAAACCACGGATTCTCTGTGACAATAGTTGCGATTGTATTATATCGTAGAAACGAATGAAAATACTCGCTTCTGAACGTTACAAACGTTGTTGAAATAAGCAATCGCAAAGCACTTCTGAAGCCTAGAAAATCAAATGAACTACTCGTCGTGACAGCTGAGAGTCATGCAACACCGTAAAATCACCACTCATTCAACACAAACTAATGTGGTTCTTTCAGCTCGATAAAACTTCTTTGACCCAAATAGGAGCATTGAGCCGTGTTTAAAGTGGTGACATCGACCTAATTGAGGTTTGTGCTCATCCTCTTTGGTACGTTTTATCGTCTTAGTGATGATGACGATGTTCTATTTTGCGTAGTCATTTGGGTTCAATGTACTCTCTTCGAAAATGTTTCTTCAGTTTTTTCAAATATCGTTAACAATTAATCAGTCCATTNATAAGATTCCTGAATGATTTTTCCAAATTTCAATAGAAATAGTGAGTACCAAATTCTTGATTGAACTAAATGTTTGGTAGTTATTAATCTAAAATTCTTCCTCATCGATTATATGCGAAAATAATGCACACTGATTATAAATGTAGGGCATTAGAATGAATTGCATACTTCGACGCCTTTCAACTGCAATCATTTGAAAGAATTGCCTTCGAAATGTTATCTTTTTAAATCACAGATATCAACACATTTTCAAGGTTAATTTATTTGTAAACAATGCAGTTAATTATAAAACAATTCCTTTTCGGTATCGTTGATCAACTAATTAGATTTGATTGAAACACCCTCCAACGAATTTCGCTTTAGATTGTTATGTTCAGATTGTTATGTTCATTGAGAAATCAAATTCGCACATACGTAACGAGCTTGGTTAATTCTAACAGTATCATTCATCTGTGAATGTGATGCAAGCAATTGAACGTAATAAATCCATTCACATGAATTTTCTTCGTTGCGAATCCTTTTGATAACTCGACTGAGCAATTCCGCAGAATAATAGATCTGCACTGATAGATCATTCGGAATCAAAATATTTTCATGTGTGCTGAATTCACAACCAACATGGCTTGATTAATTCAGTGAGTTGAATGCGTGGTGGTGATCATTATATTGAGTTTGATTCGTTCAAGGTTAACAGACAAAAAATTTTGTGTTGCAAATCTTCAAGGTTAACAGCAAAATAAAAGATTCAATGTTGCTTATTGAATAATTGAAAAATTTGGATCACTGAAGAATATTTAGTTAAGAGCAAATGAAACTATTCAATCAGCTTTAAATTGTACGAATATTTTTATTTGTCGGAAAATTGAAAACACGATTTATTCGAATTCGGAATAATAAATTAAATGATTCAAATTCGAGTCATACACCTACTACAATACAATATGATTTGGCAACAATATAAAATGCTACTCAGAAAGGAATTATGTTGTGACAACAATGGACAACAATGCAAGATCATGCGGACAACTGTGGGAGATAAACTCGTAATGAGTTTGTTAACTGCTCATTAATAAATAAGTAACACAGAACCGGTTAATTAAGCACAACCAATAAACATAACAATAAACAAAGCATTCAAAGTATAATACTTCCACAAGTATTATACTTTGAATGTTTGCTAATTCTTCGTTGAAATTAGACATCTGTCTCGAAGACAATCCACATTTGATAGAATTGACGAACAATACTATCTTAATCATCTCCTTGCAAAAGTAAGAAACTAATTAAAGCGATATTCATGTGAATACGCACTAAATAAAATGCGATTACTCAAGGGTAACTATTGCTTTCATTGTTTGAAAATGAAATCGAACAAATGAGAGACAGACGATTTGTTCTGAACGAATTCACGCTCAATTCATCAGCTTCATCATTTGGGTTTAAAACGGTGACCTGAAGTCAATATTTGTCATCAGATCATGGTGAATGACAAAATTGCACAGAGTTACAAATTGAATGAGACTGTAACAAAACTTGACACAATATCAGATCAGGTATTATATTATTTCCTGATACGCATAACAACTAATATCACCAAGTGTCTCTTGACAATACAGTTCGGTGTTCGTAATAAATGAAAAATCGTTATCCGCACAGACGACGACGAAATCGCCTCCGAAACGTTTCTCAGCTGCCGTTTTAATGAGTCTTTTCGATACATGTATATCATTCTCGATATTCTGAAATTTCGTAACGAAAATCTATTGCTGAACTTATCGGTTCTCTGAAAATGATGATAAAGCCTTCTGAAATTGACGAAAAGCGACGAAATTTTGAAAAATTCCAAAAAAGTGACAAAAATTCACAAATGATGAAGTCTTAACTATGTACTGTCCAGAAACGAAAGGAGAAAACAATCTTTGAATAGAAAAGATGAAATGCAATTAGCATTATGGTGATTTCACCTGTCCTACAAAATTCACCTGTCGTATGATCGCTTTCAACTCCGTGTTGCTGCAACTCTCATCGTTCATCAATTCTATTTGCTCGTTCTGCATCGTTGACTCGGATTTACCCACTGTTTCTTCCGTATTAATACCATTGTTATCCGTGATATCGAACGTATTTTCAGAAAATTGCGTATCCGAACTTGAACTTCTCGTCGGTTCAACACTCTAAGAATAACCGCTTTTGATTAACTCTTCAGACTGATACCGGTCTCGCATAAAAACATTAATGAATGCCTTAAGGTCATGAAGCGATGAAAGAAATTCTGTTTGATCGAAAGATGTATTTATCAGATCGCCAGAAAATTTCGTTACACGATGGTAATATAAGTTGTCAGCAATGAAAATAATACGAATGTACTGACGCCGCCACTTCTAAGGACAACAACACTGACGAATTTGCTTATTTTAGCGAGTCAATTGATGAAATGATGCCAATTGCTAAACTACAAAAATTTTAGCTCCATTTCCGCATTGGTGTATGAAAACTAAAGGAATGCCAGGTAAACAATATGAGATAGATGTTGTCAGATGACGACTAAAGAGATAAATCACAATCCCAGCCGGGAATTAGAACCCGACTCGAACTTGCACANAGATAATAATGAACACTATGAAAATGACAGGTTTTAACTGCTTAACAAACAGATAAAAGTTCATTATCACTAAATGCCTATCAGCTAAAATGCACTCACCTGAGTCGTAAGCTCAAGCATTTGGGTTGTTCGTAGGATATTCGCCCGATACACCTCATCAACCTCCTCTACCTTGTTATCATCAATCGACTTGTTGTCACTGTTGATCTCAACTTCCTTATCGTTCGTTATCTCGACTGCAGCCGTTTGCAGCTGTGTGGCTGCTGTCACTGGAAGCGTTGTGGTTGTTGGCGCTTGTGTTTCTGGTGGCGCTTGTGTTTCTGGTGTTGTGCTCATCGTTGTCGTTGTCTTTGTGCTCGTCGTCTGAACGTACTCTTGTTGGGTGCTGCTGCTACTCTTTGGACGTCCTCCGGTACGGCCACTACCACGTGAGTATGGCGCTGGCTCGAGGTAATCTTGCTGAAATTATCCTCTTCCTTCTTTCAGTTCACTTGAAATCGCGCATTCCGCATTTCGCTCGCTCATTAACCAAAAACCAATTAAATGCTGTAATCCTACCATAAATTGCACCGCAAAGCGATAGTTTGCAATAGAATTCAGGTGAAATTTTTTAAACAGTCACCAGTTTTTCAACTTTGCTCATCGTTTGATCATGGAATGATCAAACTAGGAGATGAGACGTTGTCATAGTTAGAAGATGTTGTCAACTATATCAACTGAAGTCAAATTGAATCACATTCTCTCCCTCTCCTTTCCCCAGTCCCACCAAAGAAATCGTCGTATTTGATAAATGCAAAAAATTCGTTCACATTTAGTCATTTCAAGGTAACAAACAATTCTGTACCGAATATGGCTCTTCAACTATTGAATTGGATGGTGGAACCTCTTCGGCCGAAAACTCTTGCTGCTGCAGTTGTTGTTGTTGCTGTTGAGATGGAGCGGGTGGGCTGAGGTGCAATTGAGATGGAGCGGGTGGGCTGAGATGCAGTTGAGATGGAGCGCGTGGTTGATTTTCCAGCGCTCTCTGAGATGCGAAATTGTTGGATGGATAGCGAGGAATGTGTTGTGGAGGGAAATTTACGGGTGGTGACTGGAGATTAAACGATTTCGGTTGGTTTTGATAGGTTGCAGAAGGATTCTGAAACAGTGTTCGTGTTTAGTGGCAACCTTTTGGACAGCCATTTTTGTTTGTTTGTTTGGTTTAGTTTCTTTGAGATGAGTCAGCAAGTATTTGAGAAATATCAGAAAAAAGCATTCAGTGCTTTTATGTTGAAAATGATCTCGTTACTTATCAAAACGAGGAACAATTTTCTAATATAATATTTAAGTAAACATGTGAATGAATCTTCCTCGTAAATGCCTGCACTTATCTTTAGTAATCCAAATTGGATGGAATTCAGATAGAGTCCATATAAGGTCCTAATGGAACACAATATATTCTCTAGCGTAGTCAATTAATGCAATCAACAAAATTCTGGTTGTCATTTTATAAGGACAACCGTCATTAACGATGCCATTTATTCTTCCCAAAAATGAGTACAAAATTTGATTTCGAAACTATTAAGAATGACCAGTGAACATAATCAGAATAAATATTTATTCAAAGATTTTGCAAAAAAAATAACTTAATGATCGTCTTAAGAGCATTGGCTGCTATAACTGACCATTTGAGGTTGTGACGGATATCGATACGGTAGCACTGGTGCGGTTGGGTATCTCGGCGGAGGTAATGGACGGATGTAGTTAAAGTTATTGATTGGGGGATTTGAAAACGGTAAGCTAAATCCTATGGCATCTTCACCCAGATCAGTGAGTCCATTCGAGCCACCCGCACACGGTATCACCGGTTCACATGCTGCGACAATTAATGAATTCTTTTGATGGCCTACTTATCTTCACAAGCTAATCACAGCAGTGATTATCAATATGGCAACAATAAAAACAGTGATTACTGATCTTGCTACTGACTTCAATGCAAAAAAAGAACATGAACTTGGACGAAAGATAATATGAAGTAAGAAATGAAATTTCAAATGGGAGTATTTTCGCATAAGTTCGATCTGTCTGTTGACCTTTAGCATCAGTCCATTTAAAATGGACATTTTTCGATATACGACACTGTTAAAACTAAACTGTAACACGTATTACGGTGTTGATTTGACATGAAAAAATTCAGTGAAATGAAATGAAGAGAACCTGGAATTGGTGCGCATATTGGCTCAGGTGGACAAAATACTTCTATGGGACAGTAGCATCCTCCGAATAAGTTCCACAAAAATGCGTGAGATGACGGCAAAATAAAAACTAGTAAAATTACACAAATAATTGCCATCGTGCGCTTGATTTATGAGCGATAATCGCGTCTGAAACAAGAAAACAAGAGAAGTATTTAGTGGATTATGTGAAACAAGAAGTATGTTATATGACGATCTGATCATAAACTTTCACTCTCGACGAGCGACAACACCCGAAGGCGATTCGCTGACCTCTAAAAAGTTTTCTTCGATCAATCATTTGATCACTTCCCATCTTGGAATGTTTTTTCATTCACAAAAAACAGAAACTTGTTTGCGAATGGACTCTTCGTCATTCGAGTGGACTTTCGATTTTACATTCCGTTTTCTTATTCCGCTTGGAATTCGTTCGTTTCCATCCGTTGTTTCAAGGATGGTGTTCGCTAGAACAAAGATTATTGCGCACGAATCTCTGACCAAGTTTGCAGGTAAACACATGCTTCGACAAATGAATTGACTAGAGTAATATTTTTCGTCATTTCCTTCGCTCTTCGATCACCATCAAAACCTTTTGTTGGATTCGTAAACGATGCCATTGCCATTGCATGAATCGAAGCAACTCTGTTAACAGTGATCAGTACAGCAATAATGGAAACTGATGATGCTATTATTAAGATAATGCTATTACTGAGATATCTCGAAGGAAGATTACCACCGCGACACTGAACCAAGTCTAGCAATGAGTTAGCTCATTTTGCACAAAACAATTCAATTTAAACGAGGCAATTTGATCTCAAATAACCTCAGTCGGAAAATGAAGTATCTCTAAATGAACGTTAAAGGTTTGAGTGAAAATGATAAATTGTAGAGTGAATGAAGTATCGGAGAAGTTGTGAACAACCAAAAGACGATCAGTGAACATCGATCAAAAAATCTGAGTATCTGTTCAGCGATAAGAACTTGTTCTGTATTCTAAAAGAGGAAATTAGTGAAAGCGTAGGTGGGATATGTGATATGAATAAAAATAATCAGAGTGACAGCAATGTTTCCTCGTAGGCTTAAATGAATAACGAATCAGTGATGAGTTAGTTAATGACCTTAAAACACACACAAATCACAAACGCTGTTATTAATTATCCAGTTTATTGAAAAGATGCGACACAATATCAGCAGATCCGTAAAAGTGATATGTGCATTCATTTGATTGCTGCTGTATGTAAACGAACGCGATCATATCTCTCATCTGGTTATTTGCATGATAAATGTTCATTCCTCACTTATTCATTGTTCTACCAGTTCTCAATGCAACTTCATTTCATAGTCAAGTAATGAAAGTTTGATAATAGATTCTTCGAAAAATGAATCATCATTGGAGATATTTCCAACACAACGAATCAAATCTCTAGCGAATTCGGTTAAGAGTGAGTAAGAACCACGTAAACAAAAATGAAACGTTCAAAATATGAGCGGTTTGCTGTAAGAAATGTCAAATTTCAGAGTAAATTATCAATCGGGCTTAAATGAATAACGAATAACAAAGTCAATTCACCGTCCAATAATCTGATAGTGAGTAATAAGTTCAGGCTGTATGACAATTCCAGTCAACTGAGGTTTGATCACATTATCTAACTACGGTTTGTAAGCATTTGATCTCTAGCAGAGCAACGGTCTCGGATGTAACATCTTTAAGTCACCGATGCTCTCAGCAACTTATTGGATATTATCTGCATACTTTTCGGATATGTAACATGACCTGAGCCAAAACGAAAGTTTCGTGTTCATGACGGGAAATGAGTTTAATTCA